GCGAGTCACCACAGTATTCAGTAAAAATTACGGAAAAGTTACCTAGTTATTCCTGAAAGTTCTATGCGTGACTGTTCCCTAATTTTTTACTGAATCCTATTTTGACTCACAGATTACAGAACAGACAAGTAATTTTTATTAAATATTTCTCTCCGTGTAGAGTAAAAATCACTGTTTTAATTAATTTAGCTATTTCATTTCCAATATTTCGTTGATGAAAAATGTGAAATAAAACGAATTGGAACAATGACCGAGTATGAAAGTTAATAACCCCGATGTGAAGATAGTCAAAGGACACAACGAAAGAGAGATAAGGTAGGCAGTAGAATAGGAAAGTACACGGTTTCCAGTTGGCGCGCACAATCACGTTATTATAGCAGTATATGTCCTGTGCACTGCTGTATTTAACGTAAAATCGGAAGGAGGAATGAGGGGTATAGAACGTACGAGTGTACACTGTCGTTAATACTCCTATCATAATTTCATAGGCGCCGGTCACAGATACATGCCGAAGCAATAAACCCTAATCGAATATGTACATCGGCATTTTCGGTAATTAGCCGAGATTGGTACAGAAGGGTAAACCAAACAGGGACCTTCACTATTTTTCACATACGCATGCGCGCATTACACACTCCTAACTCGGCCTTTAAACTGCCAGCGTACCCTAACCTCACTAATTTCCACAAAATTCATTAATTATCACTGACCACGCGGAATTTTCAAACGCCATTTTTTCCCCAAATCAATTGATTAATTTCGTGAAAAATTTTTTCTTTTAAAGCAATATTTTTTTCCACCCACTGAGTCTACGTCAGTTCAATCAAATGTTCCCTTTCACGCTACTTTTTTTTTTTTAAATAAAAGATGAAAGCAGACATCCATTATCTCTTTCTGTTTTGTTGCATACCTATTGATTTTTATAAAAATTGAGTTTTGACAGATTCACTTGTTTATTTTTCGCATCACTTTGACCATGATTTGCGTACCTCCAACAATGTAGGTAAATGTGCGTCGGCCCGTGACGTTCCAATGATCGACGTAACAATGTATCGTTATTACATATATAAGCCATGTGGGAACATGTGTATACATGGCATGTGGGACGGTTCAGTCACGCGATGTGGATGGCACTATACGGAAAGAATGAGAGTTGAGACGTTCACGTTTTTTGCCTCTTCTTTTTTTTTTTATTCAACACGAGATTTATCGCACGACATTCTAAGTTAATCACCCAACCATATTTCTACATTTTTACCGTTTATCAAAATTTCCCATTATTTTAATCCACCGGAGAAAATAATAATCTAGAGTGCAAAATTCACGGCAAACCCAAACCTCGAGATAACTTTAGTCTCGCATTTTCATTTCGCCTTTTTAATGATTTCCTGTTTTTTTTTCTTCTTCATACTCATGCATTTCTGATAATAAAGGATGGAATCACATTTGTCGACAGAGTTCAAAGACTATGAGATACGATCGAGTGCGCTATCGTTGTACAGATACAACGAGTACACACACATAAAGAGAACTGTATATTGATGTTACATAAACATTTATGCCATCTGAGAACGTGAAATCGTAATATAAACGACTATCACGGATTACGCATCACATTTTATCGCATTTATTTTTTTTTTTCTTCCGTTCTACTTGAATTCCCCATTGCTCTCAAAGATGACAATCTTATTGAATACGATGATGCAATCTCATTGGCGACTGGAAAACAATGAAAACAATGTCTAATGCCATTGCGAGGAGAAAAAAAAAATGACTCATGTCTTGGAATAATTGAAGATGCAAGTGAGTTACATGGAGTGGTTGAAACTGGGTTGAAAATGCAGCGGTAGGTCGAGGAAATAATGGGCAGGTTTAATCACCGCAAACGTCGATACGATGCAACTCTGAATGAAACTTCACGTCTACCCCACCTCACCCTACTCTAGCATCATCATCTCTCCCACTGTCTCGTTATTCACACACCTCCCCACCACCCATTACCTCTCAATGTATATTTTCCTCGACTCTCTAGTTTCTCTAGTCTCCCTAGTCTCCCTAGTCTCTCTAGCCTCTCTAGCCTCTCTATCCTCTGTCATATCCTCCTTCACCATCCCTTCCACCTCCTTCCACCTCCTTCCACCTCCTTCCACCTCCTTCCACCTCCTTCCACCTCCTTCCACCTCCTTCCACCTCCTTCCACCTCCTTC